TTCCCATTTATATTTGAAGAATATATTTACCTAATTTACTTTATATACAATAATAAGTATGTCTACACATAAATGAATAATATATAATATATAATTTCAATATTTTGATAATTAATTAAATTAAAAAATTAGGATATTATATAAATGCCGCTAAATTTTGGGGAAAAATTTATATGATTTTATTATTATTATTATTATTATTATTTTTATTTTATTATGCTTACATTATTTCATAAGATTTTTATTATACTTGAACAATAATATTTTCAATTATATTATAGAATATAATACCATACATAATATTACCAATTATGTAATATAACAATTAATAGATTTTATTTAATTTCCATTTGACATTTACTTACCAAATAAACTTTACTACAAAAGTTTTGGGGGGAAAATTTGTTAGGAGGATTTTACTTTTATATATATATAGAATAGATATAGATTTATTGTAATTATATATTCTGAATTATTTATTATCATTCTCTATTGACAGGAATTGTAACAATTGACAAACTCTCAAAACAATTTGTCTCAACAACGAATGTAAATTTTTTTTTTAAAAAAAGCAATGATTTCATTATTGTTGATGAAACGTATGTACGCCACTTTATTACTCTTATTAAATTAAATAAATTAGTAGCTACAAAAAAAATACGTATGCACTTAATTAATTTAGAATTAGATGTCTATAATGTCTTTATTTAAAAAAATTTAAAAGAGATATAATTTCATTAGTTATATTATCTTTATTTTCTACAATTCAAAGATTCATTACCTTCAAATTTATTAATTTATTATATTCACTACATTGTCCATTATTTTCTTTTTACATTATCTTGTAATTAAATATCAAAGTTATAAACTTATAAATTATAATACAAAATATATTATATATATTTATTTACCAAGTATTTTATACAAATATAATAAATATTAATATTTTGTTCAATACTTTCACATGATAACCTCGACACACATCTCACAACGCATGAAACATGTAGGGGAAAACTACTGTTACCAAATATCAATAGGTGCTTGTAAGAGCATCCACATTTGTTGAGGAGAATAGGGGGATAATGTAAGAGTGATTAGGAAAGAGAAGATGGGAGGGGAGAGAAAAAAAGGAAAAACAAAAAAGGAAAATTAAATTTTAAAACAATAATAATAATAAATAAAGACTGTCAGGCACGCCTGACGCGCCCAGCTGGCGCGTGCAGCTGGGCGCAGAGGTGACAGCCACGCATGGCTGTCACACTTGGTTAAAAATTGTGGTGGGTCCCACATTTCTGAAATCTCCCCACATTTGCAGGAGGATCCCATTTTTCTCTTTCTTCCTTCTCTTTCTTCCACATGGCACAAATTTCTGACATTATTCTCCCATTATGCATTGGTGTGGTTGCTCTAAGATAAAGAGTTAATAGTACAACTAAAATCCCATCACATACACAACAAGACAAATCTAAAGCTTCCTACACCATAATCTCATTGCACGATGAATCCATCTATGCTATCACCAGTAACCCAATTGCACATGACATACTACCAATTAAAAAAAGAGGACATGTACTGAAGATGAAGACAATGACAATGCTATCCAAAAGAGAATTAAGAAGATTTAGAGAAATTTTTTTTTATTACAAAGAAAGGGGGATACCCATACAATCTATGCCTACACTGAGGCTCTCTACACCTCCCACATAGGGGAGCAATTCGATACCAATGGACTACAAGCCACTTGGTAAATTTAGAGAAATTTAAACCAAGAATAGTATTTATTTAGACTATCGTTTTTAGACTAAGTATTTAGACCAGCGTTATTACACAGTTGCAAACATTTATTTTAATGACAAAATAATCTATCTCCCATATATATATTATATTGCATTTATATACTTTAAATTACCGATTTAAATAAACAAATTCAATATTTATTTACCTATGCATGAACATCTCCGATATAATATTGCATTGATATACTTTGAAATACTTATTTAAAAATAATCATTGAGAATTATTCCATTCGAGCAAGCGCGTAAAAGAACTAGTAATATAAATAAAAACTATCAAATTAATCTTTTACTTAATATAAAACATATCCTTCAAATGTAATAAATTAAAGGAAAAAGTATCAAATAGGCCACTGAACTTTTACACATTATGTAATTGAACTATCAAAATAAAAAAAAAGTGTGCAATTGGATCATTAAAAACTCAAAAATTATGCAAATATAATTTTTATTACTTCCCAATTTCCCTTAAATATGATATCATATGTCAAATTATTTTAATTATTATTATTTTTTTAATTTTAGAAGAAGGTGGAGGCAATTATGACTACCTCTACCTTCTTCTACTGTGGATGAAGAGGGAGGTAGCCATGGCTGCCTCGCCTACCTTCGTCCTGGACGAGGATGGATGTAGCCATGGCTGCACCCTCATTCGTTCGATTTGGATGAAGGAGGGAACATCCAAGGCTTGACGAAGGCTCCCTCATTCATGAGCTTCATCTAGATCGGACGAAGGAGGGGACAACCATGGTTGCCTCCATCCTCTTCCAGGATGAAAGTGGGGGCAACCATTGCTACCTCCACCGTCATCTAAATTTTTTTTTAAAAAAAATAGTTTATTTATTTTAATTTTTTTAAAAAAAAATTTAAGGGAAATTTGGAAGTAATATTTAAGAGAAACTTGGAAGTAACTTGTTAAAAAATAATATTTACACAATTTTTGAGTTCTTAATGGTTTAATTACACACTTTTATTATTCGATTATTCAATTGCACAATGTGTAAAATTCAATGATCTATTTGACATTTTTTCATAAATTAAAATACATTTTACACTTACCATTTGAGGAGATTAAAGAAATATGGTCACACATACAAATGATTATATGGTTGAATAGAAAGCATGTCATAGATTTGTAAGAAGTCACGTGATGTTACAAAAACATAGATAAGGAATCAAGGACAATCGAGCTTGCATGTCTGTTTTATGCCTTTGATCTGATGGGGTCCCTACTCTCTCTCTCTCTCTCTCTCTATATATATATATATGTGTGTGTGTGTATTTTTTATGGTGGTGGTGGTCGATTTACTGCATGTTGCCCAACCTGTGTTGTTACTTTCATGCTTACCAGCTCATCATCATTATCCTACTTGGCTGCTAGCTTCTTCCATCATCAATTTTATATAATTGTTATTATATTTTGGTTTAATCATATCATATTCAATTATTCATGATCAAACTCATAACTCTTTCTCAGTTATGACTTATGACTATAGAGGTCAAAATAAGTTAAACTTGCCAAGTAGCCTGTTTTGTCTTGTTAATCCGCTTTGACAGTATAATAATTTATGACAATGGTGATTCAGATTAAGATTAAACGTTTTGACATGAAATCAAAAATCTATTTCTATCAAAACTTATATCTTATTGACTATTATATTGAGTTAAATATATGCCATTCTTAATATTTTAATATAGTGATTTTGCCACTTTTGAACAACTTTAAAATCGATTAGTTTTTATCATCCAAGTATTAATTTTTGTCACTTTTGATCCTCCAATTGGTTGAGGTAGGTCAAGAATGTAATGCATTATCCATGAATATGAAGAAATTTGAAATTTGAAGAAAATAAATTACTTCTACTTTTGGCCCATAAATATTATGTCACGTCCACACTTGTTATTCAATTTTTTTTTTTCACATTTAGTAATTTCAACCAAATATTCAGTAGAAAACAATTAGAATATAATGCTTCACATAGGGTTTGTTCTCTTTTTTTTTTTTTTTTTTTTTTTTTTTTTTTTTTTTTTTTTTTTTAATGTAACACTGAGATTGGTTTGTAATTTTTTTTAAAGATTTATTCTCATATGATCAAGTTCAGTGAAAAGTATTGTTTATACTTTATATATTCGCACTAAAATACGATCCATAAATATTGACTTACGAATTTGTTATATTTGTTTTCACCTTTTCCTTATTATTTATCATAAATGTAACCTAAAGAATTTGTTTCCCATATATAAACCTTTTCTTTTATATTGCACTTTTTGTAATCCCTTAGCCCATAGGGGACCATTTCACTTTCTTAGTTTATGAACTAGGTAAAGGGCATGATTCGCCCAGACATTCCTATATCAACAACATTATACTGCAAGTAAATGATAAGTGGACTCCACGGAGATTTTATTAGAAAAGGGAAATTACAAAAAGAATAAAATTATGGTTCACATTTTTCTTGAATGAATTAAAGTATGTTATGTAAGTAAAAGATAAAAAAATAAAATAGAAACTGAGAGTACATGTAATACATAGTATTATTTAATCACAATATTTATAGAGTGCAAAAAATTGTACTCGGTATATAAAATGTTGGACCCATTATTTCTTGGCAACCTGAATGTCAAAGTGTTGTGCTAACTTTTACCTGAAAAATTGGTGTGTTGGAAATTCCTACCGTTCAACGATTGAGAAATTCAAAAATTTGGAAAAACGATGAACTCATTCATCTTCTCTCAAATACTGTCTACTAAAATATTGAACCCATCATTCTTGGCAAGCTGAATGTCAAAGTGTTGTGCTAACTTTTGCGTGAAAACTTGATGTGTTGGAAATCCCTATGGTTCAACTAGTGGGAAATTCAAGAATTTGGAAAAACGATGAACACATTCATCTTCTATCAACTACTGTCTACTAAAATGCAGGACCCACCATTTTAGGCAACCTAAATGTCAAAGTGTTGTGTTAACTTTTACGTCAAAAATTAGTGTGTTGGAAATTCCTACTATTCAACTAATGAGAAATGGGAAATTCAAGAATTTGGAAAAACAATGAACCATTCATCTTCTCTCAAATATTGTCTACTCAAACCAATGAATTAAATTCGCGTGGGCATGATGGACCCACTCATCATCCATGGATGGAGTGGGCCCTGCGTGGTGTGTAAAGTGTTTTTCAAAAACCAATCGTGGCTTACGCCAATTCTTGTCTTTAAGGTCTGGCCATAAAACTCCACTCTTTAAACTTTTCTCTCCTCTGTATATTTCCTTTGGCACCTACTGGGAATCTTAATATTTTCTGGAAAAGAAAAGGGATATTTGTTATTTGTAGTTGTTAAAGGAGTGGATGTGATGGTGGTGGTCTCTGGTCCATGTGGAAGTTGGTAAGGTTCTTTCTATTTTTCTTTTATTTTGTTCTAATTACCAAAAAAAAAATTGACTTTTGGGGGGTGCTAAGATGGCCCTTTGAAAAATCTTTAATTGCTGTTCCATGCTTTCACTTTATGCAGTTTTCAAGACTTTGAATATCAATATTGCATTCTTTACTGGGGTTGAGGCTTTGAACATTTAGATGAGACTGCTCTTTGGGTGAAGAATTTGATGAGCATTGAGTCAAATCCTTAGGTGAGCAGGAATTTGAAATGTTAGGGTTTCACTGAAATGAAGTTTATATCATACAATCATACATGCTTTGCTCTGTTTAATCTCTCTTTCCTTATATCCACTCTGTATTTTTGTGGATAGATTAGTGTTCCTTGTTTGTTTGCAATTATTATACTGTATGTAGTGTATATATTTGTGTGTGCAGTGGATTTTGAGTCCTTTTTAGTGCCATACTGGGCTCTCTCTCTCTCTCTCTGGAAAACTGTATAGTTTTCTCCATGGGGTTGAAATAGCATGTAGTTTACATGCTCCTAATCATAAGGACTCCCAACGGGAGCAATCTATTGACTTTCTTGGTTTGAGCCGGTCAGTTATGGATAACGCTTACCTCCTTGTGATTCTTCGACGGCTAGGATCACTAGGCGGGATTTACCCAGTGTAAACCCTCAGATACTGGCTGCGGGTTTCCCTCGTCACCCAGAAAAAGGAAGTTTAAGTTTGTGTTGATTCATTCTTTTTCCTTAGGCAATCTCTAGTATTTTCTTGATATCTGTTGAATCCATTACTCAGTTTCGACTTTTGATATTGCAACAGAGTGTCCACGAGATTACTAGTTACTCAGATCACGCCTTTCGGGTCTGTTAGTTATACGGCAAGGCCAAAAGATCCTTTGCGTCCTATAAATGTTTTCTGCTGCATTGAAGGCGGCATATGGAAAGGAGAACCATGGATGAAGATGATCAAGGCAGAGAATGTTCGTTCCGGTTTATGAATGAGAATTTTCAATCAGCAGAAGAGAATAGGTTGTCGAAAAGGTCAAAGCACCTAGTGGTATTGAGCCCAGGCGGTTTTAGAAGTTTTGATCAGAGGCGGTTCCTTGACAATTCGCATGGTTTAGATAATAAGCTTGAGAAGCATATAATAAGTTGCCTTGAACATTTGGATGCTCGTGCATCTAGTGTAGCCTCATGCAATTTATCCCCGGAAATGGCAATTTTATCTGATAGTATGAGCAAGAAGAGTGAGAATGTTGCCCCAAAGTCTACCGAGAATTGGATCCTCGGTGCAATAACGGGTAGCAAGAGTATGATGAACATTCTAAAGAGCCCTTTGATTAACAAATCGGGCACCTTGGATTACAATGTTGTCAATTCTGGAAAGATAAGATCACTCGATTTTAAAGAGTCAACATTCTCTGATGGGATGAGTTCTCCCGGTGGCTTTAGTACTAGTTCGTCGCATTCCTCCCTGAAGCTTCCGAGTGATAAATCTGTTGGATTTCCCGGATTTGGATCCAAGCCCGTGCATAGAAAGCTTTATTCTATGTCAACTACAAACTCTACATGCTCGGATCAGTCTTTCTCCGTAGCTTCTATTGTTACTCAAGGCATGCTAAAGATCACGTGGAAAAACGGTTTACCACGTCTCGTTCTTTCTAATGATGTTAAGAGCGAGGTATATGTAGCAGACTTGCTCGAGGTCAACTCAGCTGGCGACAAGCGTTTGGATTATGTGTACACATTTCGTTCGAGCTCGAGATCAGCTAGCAAAATAGAGCGGGATATGTGTGTAACTCAACCGGATTTTGTTGGTAAAATGACGGTTTCTACTTCGTTCACGCTCTCTCCAAATGAGTCCGAGATTATGGAGACCCTGTTTGTTCTGTATGGTTCCGGTGACGATTGTACAGATGATGATACACAAATATTGAGCCACATTCAGAGAAAGAACAAAAGATTACCCATGAAAGTGGCTGATGTTCTTAGGTCTGGTCAGTCATATAAGCAGAGAAAACCGTCAAAATTCGATGGAACAAATACAATTCTTGAAGAAAGTTCATGGCCGCCATCCTTAGGTGGTGATAACCATACAGGAAATGAACTTATCACGAATTTTGAGTTGGCTGCTATAGTTGTCAAAAGCCATCTCCATAACAACAGTCATAAGAAGGCAGAAATTGGCGGGTGGGGCTTGAAGTTTCTCAAAAAAACGATGGTTGGGCAGAAAAATTCGTGTTTAGAGCCCTCGATACACCCCGATAGTCCTTGCAGTAGCATCGAATGCTCAACAAGCACAGATGTTATAGTACCAGCTGGTTTTCACGGTGGGCCAAGAACCAGAAATGGCGGTCCTACTAGCCTGTTGGATAGGTGGGCTTCGGGAGGGCACTGCGATTGTGGAGGCTGGGATATCGGTTGCCCGATGACAATTCTCAACACTAGACAAAACAGTAGCGAGACTTTGTCCCGAGCTGATGATGTACCCGGAGATTGCAAAACCATCAATCTCTTTATACAGGTCAGTGAAGCATTGTGTGTTGAACATATAGCCATTAATGTGCAATCCAATTATCAGCTTAGGCTTTTAGTTGAAATGGAGCACATGCTTCAATTTGGTATCAGAGCCAGACCAGAGGTCATGGTGTTGAACATTAATGTGCAATCCAACTATCAGCTTAAGCTTTTAGTTGAGATGGAGCACATGCTTCAATTGTGTGCCCTTCTGCCTTTTTTGTGTTCCCGCATCTTCTAATTTTTTTGGTTCATTATGTATACAATAAAAGCGTTGCAATAACTATGTGAAACGTTGGTTCTGCAGGGCTCCAAACAAGACGTACCAGTCATGAAAATCGCAAACATTCGCGATGATTTATTCTATATTCGCTTCGAACCAAACCTGTCAACTCTGCAGTCTTTCGCCATTGCTGTTGCCATTATTCATAGCCACGACCCTATCTTCCGATCCAAACTGTACAGAAGGTGAAGTAACGAGGTTAAACAATTGGCTTCTGTTGTCATTTCTAGTCTTCACGAAAGCTTAGATCAATTTATGGCAATTCATTTTGTACATGAATTCGCATCTACTGCCATTTTTTATTTATTTATTTTTGTAAGTTGAATTTGAGCAAGACATTCTTAACATCCTATACTGTTATACTGTAATTTTAGGATTAGAAATGCTACCTTTGTAGAGGTTGTTGTGGCAATGTATTTATGCATGTTAGTCATTACTGCTGCCCATGTTGCCAAAAGTTTTGTATGCAAGTTGGTGTTGTTAACCTTGGATAAGACCAAACCAGATTGTGGATTTGTACTAAGGTTGTTGCTGAATTCAATTCACATTAATGAAAGAAAGGGTTGCTTCAACTGTTTCTGTTCACCTGAAAATACAAGTTGGAGCATCCATGAAGTGTAGCAAATATAGTAGCAATCATGACAGGAGTAGGAGCAAGCTCATTAGCTGGAGTTTTTTCACAAATTTTGAGATGCCATGTAGGATAGAAGTGTAGGGGATAAATGGGAAAAAAACGAAAAGCCCAAAAAAAAAAAAAAAAAAAAAAAGTTGCCCTTTTACATGTCACGAGCGGGCATCAACCCTTTTTTTTTTTTTTTTTTTTTTTGTAACGGTTCTATAAAAAATCGTTATTTGGAGGAGATATTTTTCTCTTCTCTTTCCTCTCATCTCACCTAAGCCAAAAGTCATAAAAAAATCCCTAAAATACATTGATAAATATGCTCTAAGACTACCAAATACCTTGTGGTTTGATGACATCATTATTCTTTTTCATAAGAAAGGTCTTAGGTTCGAATTTCATCACAATAAAGGGTCGACATAATTTGTTGAGTAGATACTATGTATTGGTAAGGATGCTCTAAGACCATCACTTGTATGATATTTATAGACCAATTCAAAATGGGCAGTAAGGTTTACAGCATAGTACTATTTTGAAATAGCCTATTAGTTCATTTCCATGTATAAATTTACAATAATGTGACGATGATGATGATGAGAGTATCATGTGAATATTCTTACAATGTTTTTGTTGTTCAGTCCCACAAGATTCACCCATAATTTATTTGTGACACATTTTACTATTTATTTATAGAAATATTGAATTTATCTTTAATTTATGAGAAAGTCCATAGTCACTATCTGAATGTAAATATGAGTGAAGAACGTCAAGAAAGTCAATAAGCAATTCTCATGAGGAGTTAAATTTTGAAACTTGTGATTATTAAGCTTTCCATATGTTGAACAACTACTAATGATATGTATCAACCTACAAATAATGAATACATATGACGAAGTAGCTTGTAGCTCAATGACACTTTTATGACTCTTTCAAATGAGAGGTCACATGTGTGATTACTAAGCTAACAACTTAACTAATTTGACTAGGTTATCTCCAACCATTTTCTAAAATAATGTTTAAGATAAATTGTGATTTTAGCAACTAAAATGATTCACAATTGGAGCAAGAATGTATTAAATATAGTTAATTCCAGGAATGATCCCTTACTATTGACATTTACCAAATTTTATTATTTGATTTTCAAATTGACCATAAATAGTCCATTGACTATTAAAGTTTACCAATTTTCGTCTTCAACTTTCAATATGACCATGAGTTCTACTACATAAACTCTCAAAATTCTACTCCCTTATTTATACTCCCTGAGGTGGCAAACCAGGATTGGTTATTTTCTATCATGTGGGTCCACAGAAAAATGTCTACATCAAGAATATGTGAGAGTGAGTACAAGTTGAGAGTTTAAAATTGGAGTACACCAAGTATTTTCCTATGACCATAAATGATCCATTGACTTTTGATTTTGTTCCAATTTCCAAATTTAATCTTTTAGTTAAATATCAATTTCACTGGCATAGCACTCCCGTGTTTGGCAAATTATCTCGTGCATCCGTGTGCACCACACAGATGCAAAAACGACATCGTTTTGACTAAAAACGCGCGTCACACTTAAAAAAGAAAATCAGTTTCGATTCCCAGCAACAGCATTAAGTTGTTCATTCATTCTTGATTTTTAGTTCATTCGTTCTGGATTTTTAGTTATGAAATTATGGATGTGTAGTTATGCAATTCTGGATTTATAGTTATGAAGTTATAGATGTGTAATTATGTATGGTGTAGTTATGCAATTCTGGATTTATAGTTATGGATGTATAGTTGTGCAATTCTGGATGTATAATTATGCAATTCTGGATGTATAATTATGAAATTATGGATGTGTAGTTATGCAATTCTGGATTTATAGTTATAAATGTGTAGTTATGCAATTCTGGATGTATAGTTATGAAGTCAGGGATGTGTAGTTATGTAAGTATGGATTTATAGTTATGAAGTTGTATAGTTATGCAATTCTGGATGTACAGTTATGAAGTTATGGATGTGTAGTTATGCAATTCTAATTTTTTTTTTTTTAAGTCGGACGTCAAAACGACGTCGTAACAACGTCGTTTTTGCAACCGTGTGCACCATACAACATAACGCTTCCCCGTGTTTCAAACCCACATGCAAGTGGGCTTTAAGATAGGCCTGAGAAAGATTCGAAAGCCCAGAAACTTAATTTTAAAAGTAAAACCGTAGCACCCTTTGTTAGTCAAAGTATTTATGAGGTCCCTGTATTATAGTATTTTGTTCAATTTAGTCCTTTTAGCTTAATTTTGTTCAATTTAGTCCATGTACTTTAAAAAGTGAAACAATTAAGGACAATAGCTGATGTGGCGCTGACATGTGCCACGTCATCATACTTATATGCCAATTCATATATTAATTTATAAATATTTAAAATTAATTATTTTTACCACCAATATATTACATTATTATGTCATAAATAGATACATAAATATTTGCTCATATAAGCTATTGTCCTTAATTGTTTCAATTTCTATAAAGTATAGGGATTAAATTAAACAAGGAATAAGGGTCAAATAGGCCACTGAACTACACACGAAACTACAATTAGGCCATCGAATTCTAAAAGCTACAATTAAATCCCTGAACAATACAAAATCAAGCAATTGAACCCAAAGTAACTTGTTTACCTATTTAGTTGATGACATGGCGGTTACTAAATACAAAAAATAATAATGTTTTTAATTTTATTTTAATAAAATAAAATAACCACCCCCAATTCCCAAACCCCGTCTTCACCGGAGACGAAGAACGTGTCTTCGTCTCCAGCCTGGAGACGAAAATGTGTCTTCCGATCTCGAAAGGGTGAGCTGGTTTAAGATTCTTCTTTCCGTCAAGAATGGAGGTCAGGCTTATACTCATCCCGCCGACGCCACTGTTTTCCGATCCCGACACAGTCCTCCCTCAGAAACTCATTGAAGATCCTTGGAAAACCCAAGAACTACGAAATGGGCTTCGTCGGGCTTTGGATCGAAGAATACGGTACAAATTTCTACTACCGCCATACCCCTGAAACCCAATCAGACGACCTTAATTAACACCCAAAAATTCCCAGGTTTTGTAACAAACACACACACGCACAAAAACCTTTATTTATCAGAAATGGAGCCTCCATGAACGAGCAAGAAAAACAAAAAAAACAAAAAAAAAAACAAAAAAAAAAAAAGGAAGAAGAATATGACGATAAAAAAGCTTGCTTTTATCAGTCAGAAATCCCCATAAAAATATAAAGAAAACGCTGCCAAGTGCCAATAGTCCAATACAGTACTAAATTTTGGTAGCTTCCATTCCCAAACACCTGTACGTAGCTCTTCATCAAATCATCTAGAAAATTACATAGAGAAAAAAATAGATTGATAGAGAGAGAAAGAAACCCATAAAGAAAGAAAGAGAAAATGTAAAAATGTAAAATGTAAAATGGAAATGAAGTGAGAGCCAAAGAGGTCTCCTCATCGTCTCCAGCCCTGAGACGAAGACACATTCTTCCTCTCTGGCGCAGACGAGGGAGGGGGGTTTGGGGGGGGGGGGTTTCTTTTTAATTTAATTTAATTTATTTTATTTCAAATTATTAAAATTAATTTTAACAAATTTTTTAATCTAGTAACCGCCACATCAACGGATACCTAGTCAACAGGTCACTTTAGACTCAATTGCATATGTTTGTACTGTTCAGGGACCTGGTTGTAGCTTTTTTGAGTTTGATAGCCCAATTATAATTTTGTGTGTAGTTTAGTGACCTATTTGACCCTTATTCCATTAAACAAAATTAAGGTAGAAGAACTAAATCTATATCTATATATATATAAAAGTAAAATCCTCCAAACCAATTTTCCCCCCAAAATTTAGGGTCATTTATGTGAATTCATATATATTCTGTTTATGGAAATAATAATTATAGATATAAAAAAATAAATATATTCATTTATATATACGTGTGATATTATACATATATATTAGATGTATATATTGGTATTAATAATATATAAATTAGGTAGTAAAATAATAATTAAATATAGTAAATATTCCATGTGATATATATAGACATTATATACATTATACAATTAATATTTAATTTAATCTATATATACTAATAATAATAATAATTTTATTACCTTACTTACTTTACTTTTTATATTTTTTAAATAAATTATTATACTTTCATTTCTAATTACTATTTTCACCTATAAATACAAATTTATAGACTTTGGCATTCATTCATCTTCCCTCACACTACTGGTTGTTCATGATTTTCAATATATTCCTACGTTTTCTTCAATCCTAGCAAAACTCATTCACTTAATCTCTACTTCAGGTAATTGTTTCTACTCTCCAAATTCTTTTGTTTAAATCTAAGTTTGTTGAGATTGATGATGATGATCAATGAATAATATGCTTCGCTTATTATTATTATTCGATTTATTTGATTCACAGGTTTCTTATCAAGGTGGTTAGGATGCTATTGAGGTTGATAGAAAGTTTGCCTTTGAAGGTAAGATTTTATATTCACCAAAATTATTATTTTCCCCGAGTATTGTATGTATTGATATTATATGATATATGTTATTCATGTGAACACAAGTACATTTATCGATAAATGGTAATATTGTGAGTGGTGATTCTCGAAATATCGAAGTATTGTATTAATACTGGATTATGGACTATAATTATATTTTGGACAAATCATATGGAGAAAATTGTATTTTGTGGAGAAAGTATTTATTTGTGGAGAAATAATGAAATTTTGAGAAAATAATATATTGTGTGGTGTCCAA